GACCACACAGATAAGTTTTTGCTGGAAAAAAATATTTTAAAGCAACAGACATCATGGATTCATGAAAGACAGAAGTTGTCAAACAAATCTTATTTCTTTTTAAGAGGAGGTGAGCAAAACCTTGGACAGAGGGGTGGCGGTGGACGTGGTTTACTTGGATTTTGCAAAGGTGTTTGACACAGTTCCCCACACACGGCTAATGTGTAAGGTAAAGGTCTACAGGCTTGGAAAAATCTGTATGTTAAATGGATAGAAAACTGGCTAAAACATTGTATTCAGAGAGTAGTGGTTAATGATTCATACTCTGAATGGTCTAGGGTTGTCAGTGGTATACCCCAAGGTTCAGTGTTGGGACCCTTACTTTTTAATATATTTATAAACAATATAGGGTCTGAGATTATAAATCCCATTTCAGTCTTTGCAGTTGACACCAAACTGTGCAGTGGAATAACGTCCTTACAGGATGTCTTCAACTTACAAGCCAACCTCAATGCACTGTTTAATTGGGCAACTATGTGGCAAATGAGGTTTAATGTTGATAAATGTAAGGTTATGCACTTGAGGACTAATAATATGCATGCATCATACATACTAGGGGGAGTACAACTGGGGGAATCAATGGTGGAGAAGGATCTGGGAGTTCTGGTAGATTAATAATGGCAAGCTTAATAATGGCATGTAATGCCAAGCTGCGGTTTCTAAACCAAAAAAAAAAAACTCTTGTATTAAAAGAGGTATAGACTCTAGAGAAAGAGAGATAAACAATCCACTGAGCTGGCCAGAACCAACTCTTGAGGGGGAGTCTATTCCACATTTTCACAGCTCTTACTGTGAAGAAACCTTTCCGTATTTAGAGATTAAATTTATTTTCCTCCAGATGTAAAAAGTACCCCCTTGTCCTTTGTGATGACCTCAGGGTGAATAACTCTACACTGAGTTCACTATATAAACCACTGATGTATTTATACATGTTGATCATATCCCCCCTTAATCTCCTCTTCTCAAGAGAGAATAAATTTAGTTCCTCTAATCTTTCCTTATAGCTGAGCTCCTCCATGCCTCGTCAGTTTGGTTGCCCTTCTCTGTACTTTCTCCAGTTCCCCAATGTTATTTTTGTAAATTGGTACCCAAAATTGAACTGCATAGTCCAGATGAGGTCTTACTAATGATTTGTACAGGGGTAAAATGATATCTCTCTTCTCTGGAGTCTATACCTCTTTTAATACAAGAGAGGATTTTGTTCGCGTTAGAAACCACAGCTTGGCATTGCATTCCATTATTAAAAGAAATAGCAGGCGCATAGTGGTTCAGTCCATGTAATGATAATTAAATGAGTAAAGTTCCTGGTAAGACTGGAAATCCAGTAAGCACTCGGGCAGGCTGTGATGGAGTGAAGAAGACTCTGGAGTAGAAGAATAAAAGCAAAAGACACAGCACATCTGTATAATGTATAGTAATTTTAATAAAAGGTAAGTTAAACAACTCACTCATACTTAAGTTTTATTAAAATTATTATAAATTATTCATACCGTTATTAAGCTTGTGATCTACCAGAACCCCCAGATCCTTCTCCACCACTGATTCCCCCAGTTGTACTCCCCCTAGTATGTATGATGCATGCATATTCTTAGCCCCCAAGTGCATAACCTTACATTTATCAACATTAAACCTCATTTGCCACATAGTTGTCCAATTAAACAGTGCATTGAGGTCGGCTTGTACGTTGGAGACATCCTGTAAGGATGTTACTCCACTGCACAGCTTGCTGTCAACTGACCCTGACGTAAGGGGGAAGTCTAAGGACCTTGATAAAAGGTGGGTGGGGGACAACTCTGAAGACCATGATGTAATGTAGGACTCTGGTGGGGACCCTGATGTAAGGAGGGGGGGGGATGCTGGGGATCCTGATGTAATAAGAGAAGGGGGACTCTGAAGACCCTGATGTAATCCGAGGGGGACGCTGGGGATCCTGATGCAATCCGAAGGGGACGCTGGGGATCCTGATGTAATCCGAAGGGGATGCTGGGGACCCTGATATAATCCGGTTGGGGGATGCTGGGGATCCTGATGTAATGTGGGGGGGGGTGTAATTTAGGAGGACGCGGGGGCCCTGAAGGAAGAGAAATTCTTGGGACCCAAATATAAAGGGAGGGACTCGTGACCCTGATTTAATTTAGAGAAACACTGGGAACCCCGATTTAATCCAGGAGGACTCTGGAGACCCTAGTTTAATGTGTAGGGAATCTGGGGACCCTGATGTAAGTGTGAGTCTCTGGGGGCCCTGATTTAATGGGGCAAAAATCTTGGGATGTAACCTGTTGAGAAGTAAGGGGGGGGGGGGGGGACTCTGGGGACAATGATTTAATGAGGGAGCTCTGCGGACCCAGATGCAAGTGGGGGAGGTTTTGGGACCCCAATGTAAGGGATGACTCTGATGTAAGTGCACGGAGCCTGTGGGGACCCTGAAGTAAAGTGGGAACTCTGGTGAAACGCATTTAATGAGGGGAACACTAGCGATCCTAGTGTAAAAGTGAGGAACACTGGGGTTCCTGAAATAAGGGGGAGAAACTCTGGGGACCCTGATGTAAAGGGAGAGACTCTGGGGATCTTGATATAAGGTGGGGGAAACTCTGGGAACCCTGATTTAATGAGGGAGCTCTTGGGACTCTGATGTAAGAGGGGGAGCTTTGGGGACCCTAATGGAAAGGCGGGACTCCGAGGACCCTGATGTTAGCGGGGACTCTCGGGATCCTGATGTAAAGGGGGAGAACTCCACAGATCCTGATATAAGGAGGGGGGCTCTGATGTAAAGAGAGGGGGCTTTGGGAACACTGATGTAAGTGTTTAGTAAAAGAATTGGGGAATTAAGATGATGTGAGGTATGAAGGTGGAGAAATTGGAACCGATCTGTGATGTGAAGGTGCATGCATTGGGGCTCATTTGAGATCTGCAAATGCAGAAATTGGCCCCGATTTGAGGTATGACGATGCAAGAACTGGACTGGTTGGATGTCTGCTGGTTAAGGAACTGGGCTGATCTTCTGTGTGAGGTCCAGAAATTGAGTCTGATCTGAGTTGTGAAGGTGCAGGAATTGGGGTGATCTGAAATGTGAAGGTGCAGGAATTAGGCAGATCTGAGGTGTCAAGGTGCAGACATTACTGTGATCTGAGGTCTATAGCTCAGGAGTTGGGGTGATCTGAGGTGTGAAGGTGCAGGAATCACAGTGATCGGAGGTGTGAAGGTGCAAGAATTGTGGTGATCTGAGGTCTATAGTGCAGGAATTGGGGGGATCTGAGGAGTGAAAGTGCAGGACTGGGGTATGAAGGTGCAAGAATTGGGTTGATCTAAGGTGTGAAGTTGCAGGCATTGGGGCTGATCTGAGGTGTATAGTGTAGGAATTGGGCTGATGTCAGGTGTGAAGGTGCAAAGCTTTATATTTATTTGTTAGTATTATTCAAGTCGCTTAGAGCATTTCCCTTATCATTGAGAGTGTGAAGTTGGCTTCTTTTTTTATTTAAGTAGCTGGTGCCCTCACTTTCTTCGAAAACTATTTTTGGCATACTATGCTCAAAAGGTTGCCTTATCCCTGAGCTGATGTGTCAATTACTCTATAACTAACACGCCTAGCCAAATATTTTTACTTTGAACATATAACAGTTTTATTTGTACACGGTTTTAAACGAACGCCATTTTTTTGTACAAGGTAGAATAATGCAATGTAAACTTCACAGCTTATGATAGGGTTTTTTTTTTTCCATTTGTAACTAACTTTTTTTTTTTTTTTTTTTCATAGTTGGTACACCACTATATCAGCTGCAGCCTGCCAACTGTTTCTGTCACAGTGCCCCTCTCTGTGCTAGTACACAATGACAGCTGAGCCTATTGTGACTTTGTAAACAAAGCCATCAGATCACTATGATTGGCTCTCATAGTGATTACGTTATCAGGAACCATGATGATTGGTTTCCAATTGCTGTATCTGACAGGGCAGTGGTTAGGTAACAGCGCAGTCAAAGAATAAACAGTGGTGTTTAGAAACTATCCTCTGCCTCAGGGCATCAGGATTAGGAATGTTAAACAGATTTTAGGCAGGAGACAGTTAATAAATGCTAAAATAAGCTCTGTTCCCATACAAAGAGATGGTTTTAGCTGGTCAGGCATGATCCATATAACTTGCACTGAGGAGGGTTGAATGGTTGAGTACCATCTGCCGATCGCAATACATTCAAATGAATGCAGCAACCACACATGGCTTTTAGAAATTAAAAGAGGCAGTAATGAGCTGACATGATGCCTCCCAACCGTCTAGCAAATGACCTCTGAAAAGCAATCCACTGCAAATCACTCTTCAGAGGTCAACACTAATGTAAATGAGCCATCACTCTGCAGTACAAGTTATCAGGAACCACAGCCTGCACATGTAAGATATATGTTGTACTTTTACTGCCCCACAGACATAATATACACAAAGTTTATATAAAGACCAAATCATACCTAAAAATAATAGTAAAAAATAAGACTATAATTTCCCTTCAATAACTTTACAATTACTGAAGCTTTTAAAAAAAAATTCCACCCATTAAAAAAAGAGCATCCTTAAGCTCCAGGAAAGTGATGTTGTCTAGCCTAAAATGATGACACCAGTGATATAGCCATACTGCAACATTGTAGTTCTGCAGTAAGTCACAAGGAGATAGGCTACACAGCAGGGTCTGATCTCTGTTGGACATTGGCGAATGCAACTAAAAACTGCACAGGCATCGGTATTTTCATTACTGCAGTATCTCACTCTAGAAAGTAGCTTTTGGTCCAACATGATGTATGAAAAAAAAAAAAAACAGTGCTGTTAAAGAAAAGCTGATGAATGCATTTTTGGGAGGGGAAAGGTCCTGTAATCTCTGAGATATAATAAATACCTGCAATAAAATAATCATGTAAACACAGGAAAAGCATGCTAAAGAGCTAAACCATTGATGTTAGACTGTACTACAAATAATTACCTTTCCTTGTAGATATACATTTGGGTCTTTCTCCACTGTGTGACCTGTATGTCCCATGTGACTTGGTACCATGCCTGAAAATAACAAATTTAATATTGGTAAAATAAAAATGGAAGGACACCACTTTACATGGATAATAAATGACATGAAGCCATGCAGAATTAGGAATGTTACATACAGTTAGGTCCATATATATTTGGACACAGGCACAATTTTCATACTCTTGGCTCTGTATGACACCAGAATAAATTAAAATGAAACAATCCAAATGAATTTGAAGTGCAGACTTTCAGCTATAATTCAAGGGGTTGAACATATATATCAAGTACACATTTTAGGAACAGCAACCATTTTTATGCACAGTCCCTCCATTTTCATGGGTTCAAATGTAATTGGACAAATGCATATAATTTGGCTGAATCTGGGCTGACAGTATATCTGTAAACACTGCGGAATTCCTCCGGCTGCTTCTGTCTTCTGTCACATCAATAAACACCAATGACCCAGTGCCACTGAAAGCCATGCATGCCCATACCATCACACTGCCTCCACCATGTTTTACAGATGACGTTGAGTGCTTTGGATCATGCGCTGTTCCAAGCCTTATTCACACTTTTTTCTTCCCATCATTCTGGTACAGATTAATCTTAGTTTCATCCGTCCAAAGAATGCTTTTCCAGAACTGATCTGGCTTTTTTAGATGTTTTTTGGCAAAGTCTAATCTGGCTTTTCTATTCTTCAGGCTTATGAATGGTTTGCACCTTGCGGTGAACCCTCTGTGTTTGCTCTAGTGAAGTCTTCTCTTGATTGTAGACTTTGACAATGATACTCCCACCTCCTGGAGAGTATCCTTCACTTGTCTGGATGTTGTGAATGGGTTTTTCTTTACCATAGAGAGGATCCTGTGATCATCCTCCACTGTTGTTTTCCATGGATGTCCATGTCTTTTTATGTTGCTGAGCTCACCAGAGTGTTCTTCCTTCCTCAGAATGTACCAAACTGTTGATTTGGCAACTCCTAATGTTGCTGCTATCTCTCTGATGGATTTGTTTCATTTTTGAAGCCTTACAATGGCCTGTTTTCACTTGCATGGACATCTTCTTTGAACGCATGATGTAGGTTCACAGCAATAGATTCCAAATGAAAATATCACACTTAGAATTAACGCCAGACCTTTTACCTGCTTAACTGATGAAGAAATAATGGAGTAGCCCACACCTGGCCATGAAACAGCTTTTGCTTCAATTGTCCAATTACTTTTGGTCCCTTGAAAAAGGGGGGGATGACTACTCTTAAGAGCTGTAATTCCTAAACCCTTCCTCCAATTTGGATGTACATACCCTCAAATTAAACCTGAGAGTGTGCACTTTCAGCCCATATCCATTATATAAACTATAGCTTGAATATGTTTTGGTAAACACCTGAAACAAACTAAAAATTGTGCCAGTGCCTGTGTCCAAATATATATGGACCTAACTGTATAACAATGGCCCTTACCAGCAGATAGTCTGTTCTGGGGATCCTCATAGCCAACATGAAGATTCTGAAACAAGAGAAGCAAAAGGAGTCAGTGAACCTAAGGCAGATAGCGAAAGTCACTTATTATAGGATATATGGTTTTATTTAGTTACCTGAGCATTCTCTATGAGCAGAGCTGAGCTCAAGCCACTCCCCTCACAGCTCTGGCCACTCCCCGCACTGCGCACACTGCTTAGACTCCCTTCACTGCCCACACTGTGCCGATCACCAGCTAGGGTTTATACAGAGATAAAATTAATTCAAAAATCAGTTTACAATATGAAATTATGCAAAGACAAGGACAAAAATCACATACTGAAATTGTAATGGATTGTTTTAGGCTTTTTTCCTTTTAATTTCACCTGTTGATCCTGCTAATAACACAATTGCTGTCCTAGGGTGGCTGTACTGTATTTGTAGAGGAGCAGTGTTGTCATCCTAGGCTGTTCATTCCTGGTTGGCATTACAGATCACTTCCCCGCATCTTTATAAGATAGGGGAAAGGGGGTTCTGTAGTCTACTCAGGTACTGGACAGGACTGATAACACTGCTTGAGATTGTACCACAGCAGAGGCATAGAAGTAAACATATCCAAACCTCTCAGTACGAGGGCCACATTGAGTTTTTTCAGCCTGTGAATATTTGTAAAATATACATTTATAGAATAATATAGGAATAGATAGATTTTACTTCAAGGTTCCCATCAGAGGCCCCCCTTACATCAGAGCTGCCGTCAGAGACCCCCTTACATAAAGTCTACCATAGTAGCCCCCCTTAAATCAGAGTCTCTCCCCCCCCCCCCAAACATCAGAGATCCCCTTTTACATCAGGTTCCTCATTAAAGTCCCCCTTTACATCAGGGTCCCCATTGGAGTCCCTCTTGCACCAGAGTTCCCATCAGAACCCCCTTTACAACATGGTCCCATCACAGCCTCCCTTACAACAGGTTCCCCATTAGAGCCCCTCCCCCCTTAAATTAGGGTCCCCACCAAGCCTCTCCTACATCATATCAGTGGTCCGCTTTTGCCTTGCCTACAACATGGATGAAGTCATCATAGCAGCAGGGCGGGAGCTGAGAGGTGGAGAATGTATGGATGGAAGAAGGTCTGTCGTCCTGCTACGGCAAGCCATTTATTGGTTTCTAGGATGCTAGTGGTCCCAGCAACCAACTGACTTAGAGAGGGCACAGCGGGGAAAACATAACTCTAGCTGGGGGCCATATGCAACCATGTAGCATATCAAATTTGGCCCGCAGGCCATATTTTGGAGTGCCCTAGCATAGAGCAAAGGAAGTTACAAAATCACTGGATTTCTGGCAGGATCAAATGATATTTTCTTTGCTTTTACCAAAAAGTTGAACAAAATGTTATTTAACAGAACAAAAGAAATCAAATAAAAGAAGCATATACTTTTCATACGCTTTCAGACTACAGCTCAGTGCGGAAGTCCCCCCATTCACTCCTATTTACCTCCGGTTAGCTCAGGACTTATGCCAACTCCAGTTACTGTAACGTATTGACTGGGTAAATGCAGTGGTGGCTTTGACAAACGCTGATGAGAGGGTATAGTGGTGTTACGGGATAGGGTGGATCCTGAAGAGCAAAAATTAAAGTTACTAACTAGAGCAAATAGTACAGTAGATTGACGAACTCCAAGCCAATGAACAAAACAAAGCCAGATAGTGTCTTAAAATAGAATTAAATCCATTGATTTAACAGTTTCTCAAAACAATTATATTCAAGGCATGTCATGAATTGATACAGTTGTGTCCAAAATTATTCAACCCCCCACTGAAATTGAGTGTTTTGGCCAGTTTGACATTGCTTTTGATCATTCAGTCATCTTGCTTACATTTACATTAAAGAGGCACTTGTAGGTCAGACAAAAAATATAACATAACAGTTATAATGAAATAACCACAAATGTCTTTTCTGTGCTCACAGCATTATCAGTTTTATTTCAACCCCCAAGTGACATTCAATCTTAGTACTTAGTACAGCATCCTTTTACAGTTATAACAGCTTTTAAACGTGAAGCATAGCTTGACACAAGTGTCTTGCAGCGATCTACGGGTATCTTCGCCCATTCTTCATGGGCAAAGGCCTCCAGTTCAGTCACATTCTTAGGCTTGCGCACTGCAACTGCTTTCTTTAAGTCCCACCAGAGGTTCTCAATCGGATTTAAGTCTGGTGACTGCGATGGCCACTCCAAAATGTTCCAGCCTTTCCTCTGCAACCATGCTCTAGTGGACTTGGAGGTATGCTTGGGATCATTGTCCTGTTGAAAGGTCCAACGTCTCCCAAGCCTCAGGTGTGTGACGGACTGCATCACGTTTCCATCCAATATCTCCTGGTACTGAAGAGAATTCATGGTACCTTGCACACGCTGAAGCTTCCCTGTACCTGCAGAAGCAAAACAGCCCCAAGCATGATTGACCCTCCACCATGCTTCACAGTAGGCAAGGTGTTCTTTTCATCATAGGCCTTGTTCTTCCTCCTCCAAACATAGCGTTGATCCATGGGCCCAAACAGTTCTAATTTTGTTTCATCAGTCCACAGAACACTATCCCACAACTTTTGTGGTTTGTCCACATGGCTTTTGGCATACTGCAGTCGACTCTTCTTATTCTTTGGAGACAGCAAGGGGGTACGCCTGGGAGTTCTGGCACGGAGGCCTTCATTACGCAGTGTGCGTCTTATTGTCTGGGCTGAAACTTCTGTACCCACATCTGACAAATCTTTTCTCAGTTCCTCAGCAGTCACACACGGGGACTTCTCTCCACTCTACGCTTCAGGTAGCGCACAGCAGTCGAAGTCAGCATCTTCTTTCTGCCACGACCAGGTAGCGTTTCAACAGTGCCCTTTGCCTTGAATTTGCGAATGATGCTTCCTAAGGTGTCTCTTGGTATGTTTAACATCTTTGCAATCTTCTTATAGCCATTGCCCTTCCTGTGAAGAGAAATCACCTCTTCTCTTGTCTTCCTGGACCATTCTCTTGCCTTCACCATGTTTGTAACCACACCAGTAAATGTCTAGAAGGAGCTGAGTATCACAGTCATTTTAAAGCTGCCTAATTGGTGCTTATTATGCTTGATTGCTGCTCGGTGACATCCACAGGTGTTTTCAATACCTGATGGAAAGCACCTGTATGAACCTCTGTTCTTCAGAGTGGTAGTCTTTAAGGGGTTGAATAATTGTGGCAATGAAGAAACCACATAAGAACCATTTACTACTGTATTACATAAACAATTGATGTCATTTTAGTTGCATTTGGGTAGTTACAACGTCCTTGTAGGATTTGATTCTGAATACAATTCCAAATGTACACTATAGTCCCTAAACCCCTTTACAGCATTGGGGGTTGAATAATTTTGGACACAACTGTAACTGTCACAGTTGCTTGTGCCCTCAACCAAATAGTCAAGCCATCAAATGGTTAGTGTCAGATGATCACAGGTGCAGCAACAAGACAACTGCAGATCAAACAGAGGCTAACTTGTTTGTAAATGTTAGGAGTACTTTGTTCCACTTTAAAAAATAAAAGCATAGTTGACAGCCACTTGACCCTCTTAAACGCCATACAAAATCTTGAGAAATTTCTTATCGATGTGAATGGAATTTCTTCATGTCAATGTTTAATATTTTTATATCTTTATACAGTTGTGATCAAAAGTTTGCATACCCTTGAAGAATTGGTAATATACAGTATGTACCAATTTTAACAAAAGCATGAGTGAGCAGCAGGCAAAACACATTTCTTTAATTTCTTATGGGATTCAATCTTCAACTGTCATAACAGAATGGCACAATCATAAAACAGAACATGGCAACAAGCAAACAAATGAACAGACCAGTGTTCAAAAGTCTCAATCCCCTTAGTTCCTAATACTGTGCATTGCCCCACTTTGCATCAATGACAGCGTGCATTCTTTTGTATTAGTTGTCTATGAGGCCCCAAATTCTTGCAGGTGGTATAGCTGTCCATTCATCTTGACAAAATCTTTGGTTGCCATGCATGAACTGCACATTTGAGATCTTCCCAGAGTGGCTTGATGATATTAAGGTCAGGAGACTGTGATGGCTTACTCCAGAACCTTCACCTTTTTCTGCTGTAACCACTGAAGGGTCAACTTGGCCTTGTACTTAGGGTCATTGTCATGCTGGAAAGTCCAAGAGCGTCCCATCCACAGCTTTAGTGTACAAGAATGCAAATTGTCTACTAGTGTTTTCTGATAAAATGCTGCATTCATCTTGCCATCAATTTTCACAAGATTTCCCAAAGCTCACCCCCCTCCCCCCATGATAGCTGTGCATAAAGCTCTATTTAGTCTCATCACTCCATATTACAATGTGCCAGAAGTTGTGAGGTGTGTCAAGGTGTTGTCGGGCATATTGTAACCAGGCTTTTTTGTGGCATTGGTGCAGTAAAAGCTTCTTTCTGGCAACTCAATCATGCAGTTCATTTTTGTTTAAGTATCATTATATTGTGCTCCTTGAAACAATCACACCGTCTTTTTTTCCAGAGCAGCCTGTAATTCTCCTAAGGTTACCTGTGGGTTTTTCTTTGTATCCCGAACAATTATTCTGGCAGTTGTGGCTGCAATTTTTCTTGGTCTACCTGACCTTGGCTTGGTATCAAGAGATCCCTGAATTTTCCATTTCTTAATAAGTGAACAGTACTGACTGGCAAATTCAAGGCTTTTGATATATTTTTATATCCTTTTCCATCTTTGTAAAGTTCCATTATCTTGTTACGCATGTCTTTTGAGAGTTCTTTTCTGCCTCCCAAGGCTCTGTATCTAGCCTGCTCAGTGCATCCAAAGGAGAGCTAACAAAGTTGACTATTTATACACAGACACTAATTGCAATCTAAAAAGCCACAGATGTGGGAAATTAACATTTAATTAATTGCCATTTTAACCTGTGTGTGTCACCTTTTGTGTCTGTACCAAGGCCAAACATTCCAGAGTAAGTAAACTTTTGACCAGGGCCATTTTGCCGATTTCTATTATCATTATGATTTAAAAAGGAGCCAAACAAAGATGTGATAATACATGGCTTCATATGATTACTATCCTTAAAAAAGTTTTTTTAATATGATCAGTCATAATTTCAATATCAATGCCAAACTTTCACGAGTTCTGCCAGGGTATGCAAACCTTTGAGCACGACTGTATGTGCTTGGTTGATATTTCAGAAAAACTGTAACTTAAAACTGATTTCTTTTAACATTGTATTTGCAAATGTTCCTTAGCCAGGTTCCTCTTTAAGAAATAGATAATCATTGCTCATCTATTTGACAGCCAAATGCTTTCCAGCAAAGATCTCACCAGGCCTTTTACTGATGACCTCTACAATTGCTGGTGGGAAGAAGCCCACCCTATCAGTTCCTTTTTGGGCATCATGGATATGACCTTTCCATCGGCCATCTGGATGTTGTTCCAGCACCTGCAGAGAAGACATTTAAAAAACAGCAGGTTAATAGGAACTTGTCATTTGGTGGGAAGATAATAATGTGGCTAAAAAAGGAACAGAAAAAAATTGTGATTACCGTTATCAGATCTCCAGCTCGAACATTTAGAGCAGTTGGATCATGGGCATTCCAGAAATCCTTCAGAGCTCGAACTTTGAGAATCCCGGATGCCTCTGTAAGTAGAAGTTGAGAATATTTTTGTCATTGTGATTTTTATTTTAGAAGACTGTATTAGCAAATGTGTAGTATTAAGGCAATATTAGTTCTATTTCAGATTGGCATTTGAACTCTGTTGTACTTCCTAGGGGCTATCCTACAACAGATGTCCCATTCTGACTACACAGCCTTCTCAGCCTTTGACTCTGAACTCCCAAGGGACCTTAAGCTGACCAAACACTGATTGGAATATAGCATGGTCCCAGTATAAACTGTTCAGCAGGGAAAAACAAAAAAACACAACAGGCGTTTAGGAGGTGGCAGGATTGCCTCCTAAACTGATGACAGTGCCTGCTTAGCCACACTCTGAAAAGAGATCCACCGTGCATTTTGTGAACCTAGCCTTTACCTAATGCTTAAAGCGGAACTTCACTCTCAATCAACATGGACAATTTTCTAATCCTTATGCTGCTAGCATTAGTAAATGAAGAGGAAAGTATATCATATTTACTTGTTTTAAACCTTTTTTTTTTTTTTTGCATTTTATCATTTACTTCCTGGTTTCCAAGCCTATGCAAAGGATATCATACATTCCAGGAGTCTTCAAGAGGGGAGGGAGGGTTCTCAGCTCAGCCGATGCCTGAGGTAAGGACAGATGGATTCCAGGATGTAACTGCTAAATAAATCATCTGCCCTTACTCAAGATGGCCACTGCCAGAAATGTCAGGTGTTTTTCAAAATGATTTCTTAGCAAAATAAAGCATGGAGACATGGATGGATGGAGGAGTTTGTTTTGAATATAAAAAATTAATTCTATGGCATTTTGGTACTCTGGCAGTGCAGTTCCACTTTAAGGTCAAGTTTTCACAGCTGTACTTAAACGTATGCCTGTTCAAGAGCCACGTTTGCTTGCACAGGGATGCACAGGTGTTCTCTGCGTCCCCATAAAGGCAGTCCCATTCATACCAACAGGGATGCAGCAGCTGCATGGACCCAGACTCTGCTCCTAATTTCACAGCTGTGTGGGTGCAAGTCCCTGCAGACAGTGTGCCAGTTGCAGATTTTCCCTCATTTCCTGTTATGTAAAACCATTACCACCATGACAATAAATAAGGGAAAATATCTCTAAAGGAGAAATATCTCTAAAGCTCTGGATAGCACTATAAACATGACAGGTGTTTTAAGGCTACCTATCCAAAACTAAAGAAAAAAGTTGTGGTCATACATACACATATATTATAGATAAAGATAAAGTTATATGGAAATAGAACACCAATTTAGGAACTTATAAATGTAAAATATATATAAAATTGTGTTCCTCTTTAAAATTAGACTGTGTTAAAGGCATGACTGTGTTTTACCCTAAAATTCAGGGTTACGTTAGTTTTATTCAATTACTTTACAAATATTTTACAGCAGCAGAAAATCCTGTACAGCCAGAGTTGTCCTGTACTGTTTGGATTGGTTCTCATGCTACATACTGCCCCAGTTGTGGCTGTGTGCAGCAGCCTATCCTGCAGCTGTATGTAATTGTGGCACGCTTAAAACACTGGATATAAAGTAGGAAAAATAATAATTGATCCTCTGCAGATTTTGTAAGTTTGCCACTAACAAAGAAATGAAGGGTCTATAATTTTTTATCATAGGTGTATTTTAAATGATAGAGACAGAATATCAACCAAAAATCCAGAAAAGACACATGATACAAATCTTATAAATTGAGTTGCAGTTCAGTGAGTAAAAAGTATTTGATCCCCTACCAACCAACAATAATTTTGGCTCCCGCAGACTGGATATGTGCTCATGTGGTACACAGATTAGTCCTATCAATTTAAGAAGCTGCTCCTAATGACAACTCATTATGTGTATAAAAGACACCTGTCCACAGAATCTCTTTCTTCCTTTGACAGCTCTTTGGTCTTTGCCATGGTGGTGAGGTTTCAAAGGACATCAGGGACAAGACTGCAGACCTGCACAAGGCTGGAAAGGGCTACAAGACCATCAACAAGAAGTGAAAACGCAAAGATGGATCTGGCAGTGAAAGGCATAAAGTATAAGCCCTGACCCTCCCCCCTTTCCTGACAAGCAGCCAATCGGTGCTCATCACACTGCAAGGTCTCTCCCCTCCTTGCTAGTCCCCAGGTGTGGTGCTGGAAACAGGGAGGGGAGGAGGATACATACAGTGCAATGTTAAAATATTACACGTTTAAGTCCCTTTGTATATAAAACCCCAGACATTCCTAAAATCACCTCCGATTTAAAAACGGTTTTGGTTGAAAAAAAAAAAATTTTTATCAGGACAAGTAGATTGCCATGAGGGACAAGTAGATTGGGGCCCTGATTTAGTCCCTGGACAAGTAGTTTTTTAAAACATTTCCATACCCCTGATGTGAATGATCTCAAGGCAGTTGTGACTAGTCACCAAACAAACCATTGGTAACACAATATGCTGCCATGGATTGAAATCCTGCAGCGCCCACAAGGTGTCCCTCCTCACAAAGTCAGATGTACAGGCCCATCGTAAGTTTTCCAATGAACATCTAAATGGTTCAGGGAAGGATTGGGACAAAGTGCTGTAGTCAGATGAGACTAAAATTGAGCTCTTTCACATTATCTCGACTCGCTGTGTTTGGAGGAAGAAAAAAATGCTGACTCTGACCCTAAGAACACCATCCCTACAGTCCAGCATGGATGTGGAAACATTATGCTTTGAGGCTGTTTTTTTGTAAAAGGTACAGGCCAACTTTGCCTCGTTGAGGGGCCAATGGACGGGGCCATGTATTGTAAAATATTTTATTTAAAGCGCTGAGCAAACTGTCGGCGCTATATAAATCCTGTATAATAATAATAATAATTGTATGAGAACCTTCTTCCCTCAACCAGAACACTGATGATGGGTCATGGATGGGTCTTCCAGCATGACAATGACCCAAAACATATCGCCAAGGCAACAAAGGAGTGGCTAAAAAAGAAGCACATTAAGGTCATGGAGTGGCCTAGCCAGTCTCCAGAATTTAATCCTATAGATAATTTATGGAGGGAGCTGAAACTTTGGGTTGCAAAGTGACAGCCAAGAAACCTTAAGGAATTAGAGAAGATCTGTAAAGAAGAGTGGACCAAAATTTGTCCTGAGATGTGTGTAAACCTGGTAACCAACTTCAAGAAATGCCTTACCTCTGTGCTTGCCAACAAGGGTTTCTCCACCAAGTATTAAATCATGTTTTGCTTGGGGACCAAATACTTATTTTACTCACTGAACTGCAACTCAATTTATAACATTTGTATCATGTGTTTTTTTTTTCTGGATTTTTGGTTGATATTCTGCCTTTATCATTTAAAATACACCTATGGTAAAACATTATAGACCCTTCATTTCTTTGTAAGTGGGCAAATTTACAAAATCTGCAGGGGATTAAATAATTATTTTCCCCACTGTAACTAGGACAACTGTGGATTTCATAACAATTACACAACAGTAACACACCCATATTGTATGAAAAGTACCTCTAAGAAGTTGTTTGATGTCAGTGCTGGCATGGGTAGTAGTGAACTGGTTGACAATATCCAGGGCGGTCTGATTGTATGTGTTGCGAATATTAACATCTATGCCATTCTAGAAGAAAAGAACAGAGCTGGCTTACTCCTACTGTCCTTTTTGTAATCTAATCAATAGCTGGTATCTCTACTATTTACCATTTCACTTCCTTACCTCTATTAGCAGCTTCACAATCTCAGTCTTTCCACAAAGAGATGCTTCATGCAAAGCAGTGCCCATTTTTGTCACCCTATTAATCTCAATACCAGCTTGAAGGAGTAGTCTGTAGGAGAAGATTTCAGTCAGTAGAACATTTACTGTTCCCTAAATACTTTATTTCATTACATGTATGCAACAGTCTGGTTAGGTATTGTGATTAAAGTATATATCCCTAATTGAATGGCACGTCATTTGCTTAAAAGAGAGGTATGGACTTTCTTAAAAAACAAACCATTTATACTCACCTAGGTCGATGCAGCACATATCTGATACTGCATCTGTCCCCTGCCAGCTCTAAAGTGAGTACTGAGATATCACTTCTCCCCCTCTGCTCTGAGCAGAGAGCCGAGACTGTCAATCACCAGCTTTTTGCTCTGCCCATCCAGCGCTCCCAGGTATACTAAGCTGTCGAGGGGGGCAGGAAGGCAGGCTCAGGGTCTCGGCAGATCGATGAGAGGCTGAGGCAGGTGCTGGTCCAGGCTTCTGGGTGGATCCCCCGACCGGATCTTTTCAGAGTCTGATCGACTGAGTGACGTCAGCCAACAGCAGACTTTAGCTCGCTGTTGGCTGAAAACGAGTCACAGGATTGCAGAATAAACTGCACTCTTGCGATCTACAGAAGTATAGCCAAAATAGCTTTAGCTATACTTCTCTTTTAAGTGTTGTGTATCATATACATTTGCTACTGAATTCCTTTTGATTTTTTTTATCTTTTGTTACATCCAAGCCTTACTGATCCCCAGCATGCTATCTGCACCCACATCCTATCTAAAAACACTGTAGCAATGGCTGTATGACACCTCTGAGCAGGTTTAAATGATGGCTACAAGAGTGGAACATGCCTATGCATTTAGGATCAGCATAAATATTTGTAGCTAGGGATGCAGCGATAAATTATCGGCCGAAACAGGCTTATTGGCATTTTTCCGATAGGGAAAAAAAAAAAAAAAAAAGGTGCTTTTGCATTGAAGTCTGTGGGCCACGATTTTGCATTGAAGTCCCACAGACTTCAATGCAAAATCACAGCCCCTAGTGACTTTGATGCAAAATCGCAGCCCCTATTGACTTCGATGCAACATCATATCCCACAGACTTAAATGCAAAATCGTCCCCTACTGGGTCCAATGCAAAAATGCCAGCCACATAAAAGTACTGGAATTTTCATTTTGGTGCACCACTATTTCTAGCCTCTACTAATATAGGGTGACAACACAGGAGAACAATGGGAAGACAGGTATGGAGCATTGTCACCCTATAACAGGTGGTTCCTACGTAGGAAACTCCAGGAAGTACTCCTCAAGTAAAAAACAAATAAATAAAATAGTGACATTGGCTACGTTAAAGCTTATATGAGATTTTAGTGATTAGGTTTATACATATACTAAGCAAATGTTTCTCCTACCCACCTGATGACCTCTCTGTGACCATTTTTGGCAGCCAAGTGTAAAGGTGTGGTGAAATTGGGATCTGTGGGATCTTTAGTAACGCCTTCCACAAGAGAAACACATAGGTGACTGTTCAGCAGCAACTGCACCACCTAATGACAGAAACAAGACTGAAAATACCATATAAAAACCACACTGCATGGTAAAGAAAATAAATGGAAGTGATTATCTACATTTCTGACTACAATATATAACGCAGTGAAGGGAGAATGTGATAATGAAACAGTTTCATGCCTCCTTCCTACCTTTACTCTTCCAAATTCACAAGCCAGGTCTAGAGGGGTTTTCTTGGATTTGTTGACATGGCATGGATTAGATTGGTGCTGCAAAAGTGTTTCAGACTGATGGAGGAAAAAAAAATATGAAACTTATAAATTGTAATGAAATTTCCTAACTACATGGTATTTACCTTCAATCCCTGAGACACATGCACATGGTATGAGAATATCATTCCCAGATGATCCTCAGACAGAAATTGTGATAAAACATTTTTTTCATCACCATGGAAAACTTGGTACTTATATTGTGAGAGCTAGAAGTAGCTGGTGAAGAGGCAGGGATCTCAGCAGAGCAGTTCAAGTTTGCAACACATGTAGGCACACAGAGGTAAAGTCCGCAGGAAAAAGTCCATGTAAGGTTTCTTTTACCCACTCTATTTTGTTGAATGTATAACACAACGGTCTTCCCTCGCAAGGTGTACATTAAGCACAAACACAAAACTCTCTAACCTCAGTAGCACCACCATGAAACTTTAGAGTCCAGGCTTTTCGGACAACAGGGCTCTCAATCATGTATCAGACCAATAATGGAGTGGTGGCCCAGGGAGCCTACCCACACTTTCCCTGGCAAAACTCCAGAGCCTTAACAGGAATCCTTTCTTCTATGTGTCGCTCTGTCTCCGTCTGGAGCTTTATCTAAAATATTAGCACAGTCTAGGTGCCACATCAATCCCATCAATCAACGCCCTCATTTCTGTCTCGGCTGTTCATCACATGTATTCTATGTGTGTTTTGTAAAATATTGTACGAGAACCTTCTTCCTTCAGCCAGTACACTGAAGATGGGTCATGGATGGGTCTTCCAACATATCGCCAAGGTAACAAAGGACTGGCTCAAAAAGAAGCAAATTAAGGTCATGGCATTGCCTAGCCAGTCTCCAGACCTTAATCCTATATATAATTTATGGAGGAAGCTAAAACTTCGAGTTGCCAAGTGACAGCCAAGAAACCTTAAGGATTTAGAGAAGATCTGTAAAATTACCTCACTATAAACGCATTTTTTGACATAGATATAGCTTCCATGCACCAGCGATGTCATTTTTAACTTAGAGTTCTCCCACAAGAAAGTTTCCTTTTATTAATTTTATTATTACATTAATTCGGCTAAAGATAAAAGTATATCATGTCTTCCAATAGTGTTCTTATACATATCACTCCATTAATTGGCATCACTTTCCATAATTTGCAATTTGTACTTTTACATTTGTATTTAGCATGGCTTCAGGACGAGCCGTCTGCTCTGATTGACACCCCATCCCCTGCTAATTACACTCAGCCAGCCTTCCCTGTAGTGGTCTTCTATATAATGTCCGCCGGCCAGGGTTACCAGAGACTTGACAAAGCACAACTGCGCAAAACATGTCATCTTGGTAACCCTGCATACACTCCCAGCTGAAGCCGACGCCGGACACTGCCCAATCGCTTGCCGTGATGACGGTACGCTGGCACCATGTGATTTGAAGCTGACAGGAGGATTCTCCGATCTCAGCTCCCTTGAGAGCGGACGGGTCGTCCTTTGGAGTCACACTGTTCTCTTCAGGCTGGTCTAATTTTATTATAATTTTATTTTTAATTTTATCTCACTTAATAAAGATGCACCTTCATTAAGTTGCTTGACTGAGAGCATTTTCCACAGCGCCTATTCTTTTCAGTTCACTAGAATACAATGACTCTATACATATTGGTTTACAGTCCCTCTTAGTTCCTTTAGGGGCCTCTACTGCACTCACTCAAGACTTTCAAGCCTTTGTGGCCACTCTTGCACTTTCCAATGCTACGTTAAACTCTGATCTCTCTGCAGTCTTGGAAGAGACTGAACCACCAGTCACAGTGACCATCTTACTCAGAAACTGTTCCAGCTCTTACTAATACAGTACTACACTGCATTTGTAAATTAGTCCATTGTGACCAGCCTTGGACCTTTCAGAGTCCATATGGCTGCAAAGACCTTTCCATTACACATGCTAATCTAGGTTTTCATCTGTGCAGACTGGAAGAACTCAGAAGGGTCCTGGATCTCACCTCAGACTGTTGAACTTTGAAAGGAAATATGCTAAATGATGGTATATACCCACTGCAGCTCAACCAGTGACTCACCTAACAAGAAAACCTCTAGACCAGTAGAGGGCGTGCTCACCTTTAAGAATTCTCCCCATAAAGCATTAGTAAACTATGTTTTTGAACTTGTACTACAGGTAAGCCTATAAGAAGGCTTACCTGTAGGTACAGTGAATATCTCCTAAACTTGGGGCGTTTAGTAGATATGCACATTGGAAGCAGCCGATGAGGTCACCGGCGCTTCCGCAATGTGCTCAGAACTGACTGCATAGAGTATGTCATCAATTTAGAGTACTGAGCTGTGGCTCCCGTGTGCATGTGCTGGAGTGATGTCATTGCATCTCAGCCATTCAAACAGACCCAGAAGAAAGTCCGGGTGAAGATGTAACGCATTACATTTGATGGCTTAAACCCGGGGGCACACTTTGTTTTATTCAAAGAGTTTACTACCGTTTAACACCCGTTTTTTACTGGAAAGCCCTACCATTCGCCCTATAATGGCTGTGACATTAATCTGTCAAACTGTGGCAGAATGGGTTAAAATCACTTCAAAGAGAGCTCTAGTTCCATGGTAGACCCCTTCCACATGTGGGGCAGATTTCTGGAGCCCTAGGCTTCAGTTGTTAGAAGCAACTAAATTGTGTCCTGTATGTGTCTGCTGTCCATAGAGATGCGCAGAGCACACTAAAGGCTCTAGGTTCTAAAGTCTCAAGGTTTTGTGCCTTCATGCATTATAAATATTCTGTGTGCAGCATCACCCCCAGCCCGCCCTTATACTTACCTAAGCCCCCTCTTGATCCAGCAATGTGCACTGGAGTCTCCGGTATCCTGGAACTCCCTCTTCTCATTGGCTGAGACAGAAGGGGAGGCTATTGGCTCCCTCCCACTGTTATCAATCACAGCCAGTAAGCCAATAAGAGAGAGGGGGAAGGAATGAGCCGCGGCTCCATGTATGAATGGAAACATAGAGCAGCGGGTTCCCCCAATAGCAAGCTGCTTGCTGTAAGGGCACCTGACAGGAGGGAGGGTCCAGGACAGCCTGCGAGGGACCTGAGAAGAGGAGTATCCAGGCTGCTCTGTGCAAAACCACTGCACACAGTAGGTAAGTATAGACATGTGTGAGGTTTTTTTTAAAAAAGACTTTAGAATCACTTTAAGGTGCTGGAAAGCAGATGCTTAAAGTACATTTCCACATTTGCAGCCAAACTGTAATGACAACATCTGTTTTAGATGTGTTATATGTTCCTAGTCACATAGCAAAAGTTTAAAAACAAACAATAAAACATTGGCAGATCTCTATTATTAGTTGTAAATTACATGCACAGGACTGTCTGTCCTAACAAAGGGTTAAAAGATCTTAAGATGCGAGTGGTACAATGTATGGTAATGCACTTTAACCACTTGCCTACCGGGCACTTATACCCCCTTCCTTACCAGGCCAATTTTAAGATTTTAGCGCTGTCGCACTTTGAATGACAATTGCGCGGTCATATGATGCCCTCCCAGAACTGGCCGGCCGCAGTGCAGCCATCATTCGGCTATCTGGGGTCGGCAACTAGTTAAAAAGAACTTCCCTTTTCTTTACATTGCCATTTATTCTAAAGCTGGTCATACACTAGTAGAACTTTGTTTGAAAATGTTCATATTAAGAACATTCATTTGATTTTTTAATTGTTAGTGGGATCAAACCAATGATTGTTTTTTGGCCTCAGTGACAAGAAAAATCAAAGGAGCAGGGTGGAATTTTTTTTTCTTGAATTACTACTTGCTACATGCTAAGTATGCTAAGTTGGCATAGTAAGAGTACAAGGATGACTCACAGATTTTGTTTGCCACTGTCCAGTCCTCTTGTGGGCAGCAATATAACCCACCATTATATGACTTCCTGTGTCCCCCAATGGACACAAAGAAAAGGATTTTATAGTGCATACAAAAATAAAATTTATTTCAAAACTTCCCTTCCCTTGAGGCCCCTTTCACACAAAGGGTCCAATCAGTTCCAACTGTCAGTTTTTCACGCGGACCTGATTGGACACCCCCATGTACTGGCGGTCGTACACAGACTTGTGTCTGTTTACACCCACTACCTCCAAACCGATCTGGTCTACTTTAAAATAAAAAAAATGGGTATCTGTCCCCCTCTGTCTAGGCGGATCAGAGAGCAGAGGGTGTAAAGAACAAGAGAAGTCTCCTTACGCCCGAACATCCATAGAGCAGAGCAGGCTGTTTCCATCTCCGCTCTACACAAGCTAAGCGGACATGGACCTGTAATCCGCCCTCCCTGCTCTGATTAGTAGGGAATCACCGGACAGATCAACTGCTAATCAAATTTAATTTTGCCCCATGTGAATTGGAACCTAAGTATATTCTTAAATGTAAACCCTCTAATTTTCCTGTATATATATAAAAAAAAAAGAAAATCGGGAGGTATAGACTCCAGAGAGAGATATATTACCCCTGTACAAATTATTAGCAAAACCTCATCTAGAATATGCAGTTCTGTTTTGGGCACCAATTCACAAAAAGAACATTGGGGAACTGGAGAAAGTACAGAGAAGGGCAACCAAACTGATAAGAGACATGGATGAGCTCAGCAATAAGGAAAGATTAGAGGAACTGAATTTATTCTCTCTTGAGAAGAGGAGATTAAGGGGGGATATGATCAACATGTATAAATACATCAGTGGTTCATATAGTGAACTCGGTGTAGTTATTCACCCTGAGATCATCACAGAGGACAAGGGGGCACTCTACATCTGGAGGAAAAGAAATGTAATCTCCAAAACACGGAAAGGTTTCTTCACAGTGAGAGCTGTGAAAATGTAGAATAGACTCCCTCAAGAGTTGGTTCTGGCCAGCTCAGTGGATTGCTTTAAAAAAGGCCTGGATTGTTTCTTTGGATACACAGAATATAATTGGATACTAACATTTATAGGTAAAGTTGATCCAGGGAATATCCGATTGCTCCTCCAGGGGATAAAATTCCTTCCTGATCCCCCGTGAGGCAAATTGGATCATGCTTTTTGCCTTCCTCTGGATCAACTGTGGGTATAGGATTATAACTTTTTTTTTTTGTTTGTTTTTTTAAATGGTTGAACTGGATGGACTTTTGTCTTTTCTCAGCCAGACTAACTATGAAACTATAGGCAGTACAGACACCTAAATTGCCACATTATAAAAGCAAATATTACAGAAAATTCAGAATTATGATCTTTTACATTATAACATATCCTGGTACTTACCACCTCATAGTGCCCATACTGTGCTGCTAAGTGCAGGGGGATCTGTCCATCATTGGAAGCCGCATTAACACTGGCGGCAGCTCGAAGAAGAAGTCGTACAGGCTCTGGCTGGCCTTGCCAAGCTGCATAGTGCAAGGGGCGCATGCCTGCATAAAAAGAAGGCACAGAGATAACTGACAGGATGATAGATCTGACTATGAGCTCAATGCCCATGCTGCAAGTATACACAAAGTAATTATAAGTTTACATGTCACTCTGTAATAGCATACCTCTATTGCCATACTCACCATTGCCATCCTTTATGTCCACAGCCGCCTGTGTTTCCAGCAGTAGAAGGAGGAGTTCAGAGTTTCCACTAAGTGCAGCATGGTGCAGAGCCGAAAACCTGTCAACATACAAGTCTTAGGCAATCTGCAAACATTTTACATGGTTTCTGCAAATAACACATGATAATATTTGCAATATTACTAATATAAGTTAAAGATCTAAAACCACTCAAAAAGATATCTATGATTAAAACAGAGATGCCAGTAAAACAATATAAAAACAGCTTAGTATACCATCTGATTAGTGCAGCTAGGGTTTAATCCCTAAGTTTTGGAAAGCCTAGGATCCACCAACAATGAAGGACTGGATAGAGAGAATAGAATATGTTAACAAGATGGAGGAACTTTGTTTCATGGGTAAAGATGAAATGGAAAATTTTTTAGAAAGATTTGGGGTAGATGAAATGAGTTTAAAACATCGGAAAAATACTTAAAAATGAAAGGTCCCCCCGGTAGTAGAATAGGAGAATTTAAAGGGCTAAAGAGATCTAGATATACGAGTAGATAAATATCAGGGGAAAGAGGATAAGGATGAAATTAGACAGGGTAATTTTGTGTGGGAGGGGGTTTAAGGGAATGTGTATGATGTAATAAGAATTTATGATGGTTTTGTAATGTATTTTTTATATTTAGAAAATCCAATAAAAGATTTTTTTTTTTTTTTTATTATTATTATTATTATATCTAGGAGGTACATATAAAAAAGCAGAATCTTCTGTTCTCACTCTATGATACCAGACCTCCATACTCATGCCATTAACAGTAAAACCAAGGTGCCTAATAAAGAGCACACATATTCATACAGCTTCATTCTGACTTAAACTGTATACTGTATATACTCTAAGGTACAGGTGTCAAACTGGCGGCCCTCCAGCTGTTGCCAAACTACAAGTCCCATGAGGCATTGCAAGATTGATAGTTACAAGCATGACTCCCAAAGGCAGAGGCATGATGGGGCTTTTAGTTTAGCAACAGCTGGAGGGCCACAGGTTGACACCCCTGCTAAGGCCTCATGCACACTAGATGATTCTGCCATCTCTCTTAGACTCCTTTCCTCCTGGCAGCAGTGTTTTGGCAGAAAAAACCTGACGCCTGTAAAAATGCATGTAACGCCTCAGCTACATACAGTATACAACGTTGTGTTCTGGCATTGGGATAAGAACTTTCTGTCCCATTCTCAAAACAAAATTAAGTTGACCATTCACAGGAGGCTTTGTATTTTATGAATGAATACAAGGCTTCCTCTGATTGACGGAGGAGGAAAGGCAGGTGGATGGCATCACAATGTCTACCTCAGTCAATCAGATGCTAACCTTCCTGGTAATGGATGTGCAGAGCTCAGTCTATCTCAATCGTGTTCCAGGAATGAGACGGGAGGACCCCATACCACGACTGGAGCAGAGTGCTGTATACTGTATGTAATTGATGCTACATACAACCTATAAAGTGCTGACAGCTGTTGCGTCGATTAGTAAAGCAGTTGGTTTGGACCAGCTTGGCCCAAGCTATTTAAAAAAACAAACAAACCTAGATTTAGGCTTTAAATGCATTTTTACATACTTTTGTGCATCTTGCGGAACAATCCCTTTGATTTGCGGAGGACCAAGCTAAAACATTTTACACTGGTGTAAACTTGTATCCATCTAAATGGAACTTAAACTCAACACTGCTAGGTAACATGGAGCTTTATTTGATCACATCAGAGGACACATTCATCTCTTCTCCTATAATAAACCCTGGGCATTGCCAGTCTGAACACTGTTCTGACCAATTTCTTGTACAGCTGACATTTCCTGAGAGCCAGGGTTGATGCACACTGACCCAACACAATACGTTTCCTTTGCTGCAAATATAAACCTGATCTTTCTAACACTGTGTACTTGCTGCAAAATAAAAAATCTTAGAGATTACCTTGGTGGTCTATGGTTGTATAAAAGGCAAGGAAGCTACAGCAGTGTTCTTTTAAACATGCATGGAATCCCTCTGTAGTTTGTTTCTGCAGATTATTACAGTTACACTAGGAGATTATTTACATTACAAAACACCAACACTATGATGCCTGGTTTACATGAGCAGGTGGGGGGCGCTAAAATCTGGCAGTTGAGCAAATTTAACCAAGCACGTTAGACAGAGTCAGCACCACCTGTTAAACTGAGCCATTCAAGTCAATGGAGCTGTGCCGCAACTGCAAGCCAAAAGATTCTTTGTTTTTGCAGCGCATTAGCCCTATTATAAACTGCAACTTGGTCAAGAAAAAAAACTAAAAAAAAACAACAAAGCAAAAACAGGAATTCAGAAGGATGGTCTTCTGAATGCCTGACAGTGACTGCTTAGCCACGCTCTAAAAAGCCATCCACTACGGATCACTTCTTAGTGTGTAGGCTATTGTGAACCTGGCCTAAAAACAGCTTTAATACAAAAGGGATAACAGGCATGGTGTGGCAGTTCATGTATGTTTGATCAGTTCCAAATGGGCAGGGGTGAAGGTAGTCCAGTAGGCACTAAGGGCAAGCTGCATAGGAGTGAAGCATAACTCTGCAGAAGGGAAACAAAGAAACACAGCTCCTCCAAGTGTGTACTGTGAAGGTATTTAATAGAAAGATAAGTAGTAACTCACATCTTAGAATTTAAAAACAGGCTCATGTGTAGGAAGGTGAGACGTCTGTAGCCAGATGTTGTTGTGTGTCTGATCCAGAGAGATCGATTGAGTCCGTCAGCAGGTGGTGCTGTGCACGTGCAACATGAGCCTGTTTTTAAAATTCTAAGATGTGAGTTACTACATATCTTTATATTAAATACCGTCACAGTACACACTTATAGGCGCTGTGTTTCTTTGTTTCCCTCAAAACAGCTTTAACCATTTCAAGTCTGGACACTTTTACCCCCTCCCTGTCCAGGCCAATTTTCAGCTTTCAGTGCTATCACACTTTGAATGACAATTGTGCGGTCATGCAACACTGTACCCACATGATTTTTTGCATTTTTTTGAGACACATATTTTGGTGGTATTTATTCACCACTGGGATTTTTTATTTTTTTTTTTTTGCTATATAAATGAAAAAGTCCAAACATTTTGAAAAAAAAAAAAAGTGTTTTTCTTATAAAATTTTGCAAATAATCTTTCTTCATAAGTCTTGGCCAAAATGTATTCAGATATCTTTTTAGTAGAAAAAAAAATAATAACCCAAATTAGTTTCTAACCAAAAATTATAATTTTTCATAATGTTTGACATTTTTACTTTATATATTTTTATATTATATGTTTTTTTTAACATACTGTCACCCTAGCAGTACAGTGTCACCATAGTGACACTACTACTTGTGGGGGGTGATGAAGATTTATTTATTTTTATTTTTTTCACACTGATTGCTTTTACACCCATAAAGGCTGTAAAAGCAATAATTACTCCTTCTCTCTGGCTGCATTCTTACAGCCATTGAGAAATACTGTGAGAGCTGTGATTGGTCACAGCTTGTCACATGGTACAAGTCTGTTGTGAATAGCCTTGTACCATGTGACCTCTATGATCATTCACAGATTTCACACGTAGTAAGAAATGATGTCAGAAGTGACATCTTGCTTACTACTATTCATGTGATCACTGATTGGCCAATCAGTGATCACATGATCGGGACCTCACACAGAGATCCCGTACAGCAATCGGTGTGCCCAGGGAGCGGGCAGGGAAGTGGGGAGGACACAGGCAGGGAAGTGGGGAGGACATTTATAAACGGCCACCCACTCCTGCACTGCTCCCGTCCGGCCGTTTATATACATGGGCCGGACGGGAAGTGGTTAAAGTGGTTCTAAAGGCTGCATGATTTTTTTTTTTTTTTTTGTACCTTAATGCATTCCCTGCATTAGAGTAAAGAAAACACCCAACTATCCCCCCAAACATTTACCTGAGCCGGTTAGGGATCCAATGCTGCATTCAACTGCAGACTTCTCTCCCTTCTCTTCCTCTACTCACAGGGTCTTGGGTGGCGGCAGCAGGAGCCATTGGCTCCTGCTGCTGTCAATTAAATGCTGGGAGGAGGGACTGGGGGGTGGGGCCGAGCAGTGCTGCGTGTGTCTATTGAGCATGGCTTCATAGATACACACAGCTTGGGGGCAAGCATGCACGTATGCCCCATTAGCAAGCGGATTGCTATGGGGGCACACAGAAAAAGGAGGAGCCCATAGCGCCAGTAGGGGACCCAGAAGAGGAGCATCGGGACTGCTTTGTGCAAAACCATTACACAGAGCAGGTAAGTAGAACATGTTTGTTATTTTAATTAAGATAATTCTAGACCTTATAACCACTTTAACACTCCCTGTGGCATCATCACCAAGCTTGTAAAATTCTTGCAGGGGCAGCTAGTGATGTAGGCATGCCACCAAAACTACATCTCTCAAAAACCAGTCCTCTGCACATAGGGTGATGGCAGGCTCTTGGGAGTCAAGTCAGCAGTATTTTTTTTCTTGGAAGGTGGAGTGAGACAGAAAGGGGTAGGGGGTAGGAAGAGTTGTGTAGTCCAGCAGTCATGGCTGATAATACTGGTTGGGATTTCAGTGCAGCAAAGTCACTATCTGCTCAGCTCAAACAGTAAATTTAAAGCACACTGGATTTCTAGCAGATCATTGGGCATTTTCTGTGTTTGCATGTTTTTAAAGAGATAATGAGGGATGTGTATGTTTTGCAGAGATGTGCTGATTTTTTTTATTTTATTTTTGCCCTGATGTACAATTTAAGATGCATGTTTTAGAATATAATGCCTATTAAGATGCATATTTAGAACCAGATACATACAGAACAGGAACAGGTAAAAAGAGAGCAGGATAAATAAATGACTTGTTATGCCAATTCTATATAGAAAAGTATAAGCCAACCTGTCACAACTATGAGAAGATTGTGTTGTTGCAGAGCAGTCTAAGCTACTGCAGTTTCTTTTCTTGGGGGTCTATTTATAAAGGATACACTTTGCGATTCAGTTAGCTGAACATTCATCTGTCTGTATTTTAAAACATTCAACTGTCATTTTCCAAGTGGATTCATCCTATTCAGCACAATTCCAACAAGATTCACCTGTCACATTTGGGGCGGTTTGGCCCTTACAGCACAAAAAATGCAAGGTGGCACAGGTGCTTACTTTTAGGGCTTTATGACTAAAGCATAGAGTTTCCTCATTTGGGACGTATGTCAATAAATGTTATCTCTAAGCAACAGTACTGCTCGGGAGAGCAGCATCCAACTGCCGCATATTTTAGCCTGTCATTGACCTTGGCAGGCTGTATACTGCACTTGGGCCTTTCTTGCATTCTAAAAATGCCTGTTTTGTACACTGTAGATAGCAAACTGCCCATGTGCATGAGCTCTTCCACAAAGGCTGAACCCTCTTTGAAAATGATAGCTTAAACCATTCCCACTTCCCCTGGCGTCCCTTTCAACAGTTTGGAACGCTCGGGAAGTAAGATTGATTGGCGATCATGTGACCACTGTCACAGTGGTCACGTTATCAGTGAGCGTGCTCTCAGCACATAAACATCGGCTACCCACTGATACATATGTGCAGCACATGGCCTTTAAAGCCCATCCTTTTTCCGTTCTATAGAGGATAATGCTGTAAAAAAAAAAACCAGGATAAATGTGCAATAAAAAGTTTTATAGTGCAAATTGCACAGCAAATCTATTATATATAGTCCCCTTAATTCATGCTACATTTTCCTAGTAACTAGCAGTGGGAATCTGATTTTTTTTTTTCCAGTTTAGATCCCTGTAAAATCCCTGTTTGCTTCCCATTGAAGAGATTTCCCTTCACTTCCTGCCCTGTAGACACAACAGGAAGCAAGAAGAAATCTCTTTTTCCCGCCTGACCTATAGCAGATTGACGGGTGGGCGGGACAATCGCCATTGTGACTGGGTGTAATATGACGCCCTGTCAAAACAAGCCGGCCGTGGGGCAGCAAAGCGCAATCATCTTGTCCACGGAACACAGCCGATGACATATCACTACACCGGCCCAATGCCAGTGTCATGTGATTGCTGTGACCAACCACAGCAGATGACATGTCAATTGTATACAATGGATGGCTTCTTGTCATGCCATCCATTGTATACAATTATGTTGTTAGCAGTGACTGGTCTAGGCAGTCACATGATACAGACAGGGCCAATCACAGCCCATTTGTATCATGTGACCAGCTTTGCCTAATCACAACAAAAGACTGAATTAATCAGTTTTATCCAGTAACAATAATTGCAAACATCAATGAAATACATTGGTATTGGCAATCATAATGTGTTAAAAAAAATTCTGATTACTTGCCCAGAGTAGTTAAATGTTACTCTGGTAACACTGTTTTGCTTTGGTCACAGTGTGCTGAAAAGTAAAATAGTAAAAAAAAAAAAAAAGAAACATTTGAAAAAAAAAATAGTAATTCAATTATTATTATTTTCAGCAAAGAAATGTAGCAGAATACATTTTTACCTAAATGTATGAAGAAATGTTATTTATTTGCAAAATTTTATAACAGAAACAAAGAAAAGTGTTTTTATTTTCAAAAGTTTCAGGTGTTTTTTTTGTTTTATTTAGCAAAAAATAAACTCAGTGGTGATTAAACACCACCAAAAGAAAGCTCAATTTGTGTGAACAAAAAAAATTATAAAAATGTCATATGGTGCATGACCGCGCAATTGTCACTCAAAGTGCGACAGTGCTGAAAGTTGAAAATTGGCCTGGGCAGGAAGGGAGTATAAGTGCCTGGTATTGAAGTAGTTAAATTGAGAAAAATCCCTCCTAAATACTTGTCACTTGAACACATGTCCCCTTTGTTCCTGTTCTGTAAAAAACACAAAATGTTGGATGTTCATTCCCAGCAACACTGGTTACCAGGACAAATAGAAAGGCTGAGTTTTCCCAGCAGGGAAACAGACAGTATTAAGACATGACAGGGGTTCTAACCCCTCTCTACTCCATTCTTTAGATATACTTTAAATTTACAAAACTTTTGCAGAAAGCTCCTAAAAGGCGAAGTAGAAGCTGTATTGTTCTGGGGCTCTTAGCATTCCACAGATGACTACTTGGACATGTACAAACACTCTTTGTAGTCAGTTATTATCTTTCAAGTGTTGACTTACCCATCACTGTCTTGATAGTTTACATTTAACCTTTTAGTTGATCCAAGAAGCTCTGAAATTAAAGAACAAGCTGGTTATTATCCTTTGCACTTAGAAAGCAAGCAAATAAAAGAGTGCAATAACGCCATACAATGTGGAGGTGAATCAGGTATCTGAGCACCCAACAATTCAACACAAATACCGCTTACGGAATCTGGAGGGAACAGCACAAAGCAGCACCTGCCCCATGCGTTCACAGCGTTTTCTGCCTCTCTATTCTAGGTCTTCACTGCCCCTTGCCTCTCTAACATTCTTCAATCTGTGTTATTTATGCATCTCTCCCTCTCTTCATACTGCAGAGAAATGGCATTTTTGTTCTACTTCACATTCCACAGAAATTGTTGGCATTTTGTATACACAGACTGAATTGTATCCGCTGTTTTCAGACAAGAAAGAAGGTCTCCAGTCAATCTCTGCATGCTTGTGGTTGGACGGACAAACAGGGCGGGCTTGTGCAGCATTTACTGTTTAAAGTAGATGTAAATCGAATCACTAAATTATTTTTAATATTATTATTATTATTAGAAAGATAAACGTAGCACCAACAATGTACACAGCACTGTTCATATAGTACATTCACATCAGTACCTACCCTCAAGGATCTTACAGTCTAAGGTCCCAAGGGCTCGTTCACCCCATACGTGCATGTAAAACGATGGGAAATCTGCGCAGATTTCACTTGCAGAGAAATCAGTTTACCTCAGTTTTTATTCATGTCTGTTATGCACAGATTGACATTCTGTGTCATCACCCCTCATCAGTGCCCTCCTCATTAGTGATCCCCAGTTCAGAGACTCCCCGTCAGGTTACTTTCATCAGTCCCCCCCCCCCCCCCCCCTATAGACTCCCTCATCCGTGACCCTCTCATCAGAGAATCCTCATTAGTGCCCCCCTCATAAGTCCCCCACCTTCAATGTCCCCTTATCTGTCCCCCACCATCAATGTCCTCTTATCTGTCCCCCACCATCAGTGTTCCCACCATTAGCACCCCCTTATCTGTCCCCCACCTTCAGTGACTGCTCCATTATCTGTCCCCCACCATCAGTGTTCCTACCATTAGCACCCCCCCTATCTGTCTCCCACCATCAGTGTTCCTACCATTAGCACCCCCCCTATCTGTCCCCCACCGCCAGTGCCCCCTTATCTGTCCCCCACCGCCAGTGCCCCCTTATCTGTCCCCCACCGTCAGTGCCCCCTTATCTGTCCCCCCACCATCAGTGTCCTTTCACCTGTCCCCCACCATCACTATCAGTGTCCTTTCAGCTGTCAACCCGTCAATGTCAGCAACTGATGATGTCCACCATCACATACCCAGCGGCAGCATGATTCTAGCTGGCACGCAACAGGAGGGAAGGTAGGTGGGCAGCACCATGCTGCATTCCCTCTCATTTCCGGTCACATGGAAGGCATGCACAGCGGTACTCTCGGTTTAGCCTGCCATCGAGTGCAGAGGTGTGTGGGAAACTGCAGACATGCTGCATCATCCTGCACAGCTTGGTGTGAATTAGACACATAGGAAACCATTTTAAAGCTTGACATGTGGGTATCTATTTACCTGGCCTAACATGTGGGTATCTATTTCACAAAAAAATTGGGGAATATATTTTGTTTTGTTTATTCATTAAAGTGTATTTTTTTTTAAAAAAAAAATGTGTTTGAAAAATATATACATTTTTTAAACTGTCCATTTCAGTTTTTGGCCAAGAACATCCTGAATTTTCGGTTTCAGTACCAGAATTTTCATTTCGGTGCACCACTATAAATTATTTATAGGTGACGCTCCAAAAGCCTTTACAAGTTACCAGTGTAGAGTTACACAGGAGGTCTGGAGCTGGAATTATTGCTCTCGTTCTGACGTTTGCAATGATACCTCACAAATCTGGTTTTGTTTACATGTGCATGTGGGACTGATGCGTTTGTTCACCTTTGCCCGTGATCATAGAGACATAGGGGTGATTTTTTTTTTTTTTTTTTACTTTTAATATTTATTTAAATTTTTTACTTTTACGCTGCATCCCTATTTTTTAAATCACTATTATTGCTATCACAAGGGATGAAAAACATCCCTTGTGATAGCATGGGCCATGACAGATTCACTATATGGAGAGATCTGGGGTCTATAAGACCCCGTATCTTTCCTCTGGCCTCCAAAGCAGCATATAACAATAGCTTCAACCATAATCCCAGTAGAACCACCTCAATATCATGACATATATATACATAAGTCACAGCTAACAACGTAATTGTATATACAATGGGTGGCATGACAGGAAGCCATCCATTGTATACAAATGACATGTCATCTGCTGTGATTGGTCACAGCAGTCACATGACACTGGCAACAGGGCGGTGTAGTGATATGTCATCGGCTATGTCCCCGTGGACACAGCTGGTGACAGATCGTGCCGCAGCGTGGCCCTGGCTCGTTTTGACAGGATGTCATATGACGCCCAATCACAATGACAAGTGTCCCACCCGGCCGTCAATCTAGGCCGGGCGGGAAGGTGTTAAAATAAGTTGAAAAATACCAGACATAGGCTGCAAGAGGTGAAAATAAAGAGAAAAAAGATTTAAAAAAAAAAAAACAAAAACAAAAAAACTAATGCAGCCATCACATCCAAAAATTGGTAAGCTGCAATTACATACTTTTTTTTTGTTTTTGGGGGTTTAATATCACTTTAAAAATAATATCAGGCGATCCTGTCATAAAGGTTCTTGTGCAGGCAGTTCCAGTTACTGGGTGACAACGCTCTGACACAGTCTCCCACTTACTTTCTTACATTATTACCCTCTGTCACTCATTCTCTTAATGGATACTACAAAAACTTGTGCTGACATATATTGCACAGGCATGTTCCATTGCTGTCACCTCCATGAGAAATGCCACACAGCCCTTACCAGAGTACATGTAGACAGGAAGTGGTTAAGGAGATGAGCAGTGTTGATATGAAATAAAGTGTGAAAAAAAAAATGAATTTTATTAATGTTATTAAAAGAAAAAAAAAAATGACAACGTCTCATTACACACAATGCTATAACATATTAAGAGGCACTGAGTTAGGATTTATTGTGTAGAAGAGTTGTACTCTGCAGCCAGTAGAAGGGTGTCACACACTGCTCTGCAGGGCTGGGACAGGAAAGGGGTCATGTAACTGTTCAGAAGGATTTGTCATCACACCAGCTTTCCCTTTATAGGGCAGGATATTATTTCAGCGCTGTAGATTGACTAGAACAATTGAAAATGTAGCCCCCCCACACACACACCCAGAATCTCCAACTGATTAGGAACATTTTCCCACAATTCAATTCTCCTGAACCCAGACCAATAGGATATGTAGTAGAAGCGTTCATATAAAACTGGATACAGTTAGAATTCAAAAGCAAACAGAACACCACTTTTTCCTGGATTCTTTATTTTTTTCGGCATTGAACTGAAAGATGAGAATAATGAAAACAAAGTACAGACAGCGCACAGCATTACCTCATGTATGATGTCCGATGCTGGCCGACAACAAAGCCGCACTGAGGTTTGGGCAAAAGGAAATGCACAGCATTCCATCTGAGCTCAGTTAAGTGAATTCCATGGAGGTGGAAATTATATTCTATTTTTTTTCTCCAGCGTCGTTCTGAAGTTTTGAAAATATGTTCTACATACACTGCTAAAAAAAAAAAAAAAAAAAAAAAAGGAAAGGAACACTTTGAAAACACATCAGATCTCAATGCTGGATATCTATACTGATGTGGACTAGGTAATGTGTTAGGATCGCAAGGATGCCCCATCGTTTGATGGAAATGAAAATCAACCTACAGAGGACTGAATTCAAAGACACCCCAAAAATCAAAGTGTGAAAATAGATGCAACACGCTAGTCCACGTGTTTGTATGCCTGCCTGACATCAGCGCATGCTCCTAACAAGACGATGGATGGTGTCCTGGGGTATTTCCTCCCAGATCTGGACCAGGACATCACTGAGCTCCTGGACAGTCTGAGGTGCAACTTGGAGGTGTAGGATGGACCGAAACATGATATCCCAGAGGTGTTCTATTGGATTTAGGTCAGGCGAGCGTGGGGGCCATTTAATGGTATCACTTCCTTCATCCTCCAGGAACTGTCTGCAAACTCTGGCCACATGAAGCCGGGCAATGTCGTGCACAAGGAGAAACTCAAGACTCACTGCACCAGCGTAAGGTCTGACAATGGGTCTAAGGATTTCATCCTGATAAGGGCAGTAAAGGTGCCATTGTCTAGCCTCTAGAGGTCTGTGCGTCCCTCCATGGATATGCCTCCCAAGACCATCAATGACCCACCACCAAAACGGTCATGCAGAATTAAGTTACAACCACCATAACATTCTTCACGGCTTCTGCAGAAACCTTTACGTCTGTCGCATAAGCTCAGGGTGAACCTGTTCTCATCTATGAAAAGCACGGGGCGCCAGTGGCAGACCTGCCAATTCTGGTGTTCAATGGCAAATGCCAATCGAGCTCTATGGTGCCAGACAATGAGCACAGGACCCACTTGAGGACATTGGGCCCTCAGGCCACCCTGAAGCCTGTTTCTGTTTGTTTAGTCAGAGACATTCACACCAGTGGCCTTCTGGAGGTCATTTTGTAGGGCTCTGGCAGTGCTCTCATCCTTCCATAAAGGAGCAGATACCGGTCTTGATGATGGGTTAAGGACCTTCTACGGCCCTCTCCAGCTCTCCTAGAGTAACTGCCTGTCTCCTGGAATCTCCTCCATGCTAGAGACTGTGCTCAGAGACACATCAAACATTCTGACAGTGGCACGTATTGATGTGATATCCTGGAGGAGTTGGACCGCCTGTGTAACCTCTGTAGGGTCCAGGTATCACCTCTAGCTACCAGTAGCGACACTGATCCTAGCCAAAGGCAAAACTAGTGAAAAAGTCAGAAAAGAGGAGTAAGGATAAAAAAAAAAAATCAGTGGCCTCAACCACTGACCCATTAAACCAATTCCTGTTTTGGGGGGTTGTCTCATTGTAGCCCATCT